ACGACGACGACGACGACGACGACGACGACGACGCGACGACGACGACGACGACGACGACGACGGCGGCGGCGACGACGACGACGACGACGACGACGACGACTGCCTCCGCCACGCTGCTGGTAAGCTGCCGTTGCTACTGCTGCTGCTATTACTGCTGTTGCTACTATTACTATTGCCTGTTGGAACTGTTACTACTATTATCATTATTGCTACTATTTTGCATGTATTCTTTTTTCTTTCCTTTCTCTTTTTTTCTCTTTCTTTTTCTATACGGAATAGTACGCGCGTGAATCGGTGTACGCGCCGCGCGGCTCCAATTCGGTATATGCAACGCGCAATGCTATGGTGTGTACTCCCTCGTGACGTAGTGCTGTAACGCGCTGCTCGGTAACAGTGGTAGGGGATGGTTACCCATGCCCGAATAAAAGGCATGGCCTTCCACCTGACGGAACACACTCGCGACCTCGTATCATAGACTTTTGGATTTTTACAATAAGACGCTTCGCGTGTCGTTTGAGTCGACTGGGACCGCAATATCTTTCGAAAATAATATGAAAGATAGTGTAGATAATTTATGTCTCTCATGATTATTACATTAATTTACCTATCATATTGCATATAACACCGCAATAAAACCGATACAAAGATTCATACTTTCTTTTGATATTTTGTTCGCTTTGGACGGTATAATGCATATTAAAATGAAAAATACAGGGCAAACGTAAACAAATTACTTTAACATCAAGCAATTTTACATGAAAATGAAATGACGTGAAAATTACTGTACATAAATAATCATTCGAGATTTTTCACATTTTCTTCGTCTGATATTCACCGTTTGTTCGGTGAAATGCTGAACTAGTTTTGGACATTTTTTTCGGACATCCAATCGTACTCTTTTTTTTTTTAATCGCGAAATCGTCGTGCTTTTTGCATGCTTTTTTGTAGTCGAATAATATTAATATTTAATGTTATTTATCTCCTTTCTAAAAAGGGCATGATACTCGCATCTCTCGAAATTTTCTCGAAGTTTATTGTTGACGCGTTTCCGCGATGCCGATTGATTCTCTCGCTGCTCTAACTTCGTGAATAGTTGTCATTGTATCTCAGAGGATCGTTTTGTTTCAAGAAGTTAAAAATATTATAGTGTAGTCGTATAATAGTATTATGTTAATTTTTGCTCTTGTGTTTAAAAAAATAAATAGCGCGCGCGCAGCGTTTGTAACGTCTAGTATTTAAAACAATAATAATACGCATGAATAAAATTCATTTTATTTTCATTGATCTCAAGTCGATTTTGAACCTGAAATTATATTAACATTGCAATTTCGTGAAGCTAAAAATGTCACTCTTTACATAGAATTTTAATTAGGTTCTTACATTTTCCGCTTTATTATGCATTTAGTCGCAATTTATCGATGTGTACCTCACAAATCTCTCTTCCTATCAAACGTGAAATGCGAACAATTTATCAGATATTGCAGAAGTGGTAATCCATTTTCTCGTATTTTCTCGTATGTTCTCGTTTGACGTCATTCAACATACCTGCATGATATCGGAACAGGAATTTCGAATATGTATTATACATACCTCTGTAAATATTTCTATGTAATGTATTTCTATCATTCTTTTGTCATATATTTTTTGTTTCTCTTTTTTTTAACGCAGATGATGAGTATTTGATACATTTATAAAAATATAATAAATTTAGGAAATGAGTGTGAACGTAGTCATTAAATTATTAATTTCTTACATTGATCGCTATATCTTTAAAATCATCTTAATTTATGGAAATGTCGAACCTTCAGAACTCATTGGAAACTTCAAAACATCTTTTTGCATTATGACTTTGGTCAGATATTTCATGATCTAAAACTGACATTTTCGGAAAACTTGGAATATTACTCATTGAACCACGAAAACATCGAAACAGAAAATGTTTAAATATAAATGATATTGCTAAATTAAATGTAAATAATTATTAAATATAAATAATTATTATATTGTATCGTAATATGTAAAATATCATTCCTTTTCTGCTAAACAAAAATAGTTGCTCGAAAGATATTTTATTAATTTTTATGTTCGCGCCTCTCAAAATATTTATTTCTTGAATCGTGTAATCATTTAATTCTCAAATGTTATTGCACGCACAAATTCAATAAAAAATAATAGCTATATTTAATAATAGAAATATTTTTAAAATGAAAAAATTATTTATATCAATTATTAATTTTCATATAAAGTGAAATATTATACCCATCATATTGAAAATTCTCTTATATATCGCATGTTCAAAACAATAAGAAACTGATTTCAATTGAGCTTCTATCTCTTCGACTTGAATTAGGAATCATTCAATGACGACCTAGAGCTTTTCGATCGACCATTCTTTTTCGATCGAAAAATAGAACGCATGTTATTTAAGCGAATTGTTTTTCTTTCGGCCTTTTGCGATAGACAATATCAAAGACCAAAGTTTCGAGATCGATCCGAATTTGTCTGACCTCGTAGTTTGTTTATCCGGCGCGAGTGATGACACGTGACTCGATTTTCGACGAGTCACGACATGCAAGGAACATTTTCTGGACTTGGCACCGTGTCCTCTCTCTCTCTCTCCTCTCTCTCTCTCTC